TCGAATAATATAGATATAGATATACATAGGTAATCATTATTAATATTGTGTATATATATATATATTTATATATTTTCACATCTACATACATATATATATATATTTATTTATATACATATACACGTATACCGTAGTATACGTATGTACGTTTCGGTTTACTGATTGAACAGACTTACATGCATTTGGTGTTTCAAGATGTTTGAAGGCAGTTCCCAAAATATTCCCCCGGCTGCAGCAGTGCTCCACCAGCACCAGTCACCTTCGGCCGGCTGAGGCAGACCGAAGATCGTGGCATATTGCTCACAGGCACAGCTGGCAATCACTAACGGTCATATGTCATACTTACTAAAGGAGAAGTCACTACTTACTTGCTAACCCCGCTGGCTGACCAGCTACCACGCATTCTCATGCATTCTCACACTTCAGTTTTCTTTGCACATTTTTGGTACGTGCCCCGCGCAGATTCCTCACATCGCCGAAGGGACCCTCAAGGACCAAGTGAGCCCCGTGGCACGCTGGAGACTTGGGCCTAGGAGGTCATCAATTTGGTTGCTCCCAAAGGTTCACAAACCACCAATCGTACTGCCAGGAGGCCGTAGGCCTTCATTTTTGAGGCGGAAACAACATGAAACAACTTTCGTGTTGCTTTCTCAGCATGGCACTTGAGGATGAAAGGATTGGCAACTGCCACAACGTGCAGCTGGTAATGGGTTGCCAGATTCGCGCCAGGAGAATGTTCTGTTTGGCCAACCTTTCGACCAAGTTCGCCAGGGGCCCAACATCAACCGAGCTCCGACCAATATGAAATGTCAATCAATGACATAGACATAGACATAGACATAGATCTGTTTTAAACATGTTGGTTTGACCATTTGGAACGTGTTTGAACAAATTTGTGAATAAATTATGTTTAAATTTGCTGGAACCAGTGGTTTCCTTCAGCATAATTATATGCTCATCATTGCGGATGTTCGCGCATGATTTGACCCATATTCTTCCAATGAATTGTCTCCATAATTTAATTCATATATTTCAATATGATGATGGCTCAAAACATTCAAAACCTAAAATGCACACTAAAATTCATCACAAAAGATCATTTTTTTGGGTATGAACATCCATAAGCTATCTTGTTTTGAGGTGACCTACGGGAAAGCCCGGTCCTCGCTGGTGTCCCATCGGCTTTTTCCCCAAGGCTATGACGACGCCTTGCGCGCCGCCTCATTGGGAAAAGATCTTAAAGTGCTGCCAGGTGGGTGATCCCGCGGCCTATGAATGGTGTAGTGCCCAACTGCCCAACTCTTAAAAAAAACATGGTATTTGCCATATATAAATAATATGTATATATATATAATATATATATATATAGAATATATATATATACATATATATGCGTGTATATATATATATATTTGGATGATTGTCTCTGATGATGTTTCTTCCTGAACCGGTCATGGACCTCTTGATGTGGGCAAATTTGCGCGTTTGATCAGTTTAAGTAGTTAAGTAATGGTTCCCCTCTACCATGTGGAACACTGCTATTAGAACTCCATTCTAACCTTGCGGGCAAACCATAGGGTCTTGCCGTAATTTAGTTTGACTGGATTAGTTGCAGGGAAAATCTACAGGAAACCATGTTTTGCCCGTTAAATATAATAATATAGGGGTTCGGGTTTCAATCTTCCCTTAAATTAATCAATTGAACTTGTTTCCTTCATCATTTCAATTCATTTCACATGACTTGTTTAAATCTATTAATAGTTCCAGTCCTCATGTTTATAATTCCATCCTGATACTAAATACTCCTTTTATAACATCTAGAAACCCTGATTTCAGAACTTAACACATTTGATCATGAAAATAGCACCAGAATTTCCGCACAAAAAACTGCCGCTCTTTCAGGTGGAGACCAGGTCCCCATCGGTGCCCGTGGCATCTCCCTGTCGGGTGGCCAGAAGGCACGCGTCGGTACCCACAGGAATCGCACGGAGCTGAAGAGCTCTTCAGGTGTGGTTTGGCAAACGGTCAACCCAATAAACCTCTGCTGGGAATGGGTGGAATGGTTCGTAATTGATCTTTATTGGATAAAAAAGCAGGATTTACCACATCACCTCAATCACCTCTGTATTTTAAATTGTACCAGCGAAACAGATGATGAACAGTGTTGTTTAACCAATGAAACACGTGTTTAACCCATGAACAAATGATGAAACATGGTGTGATACAAAATATGTAATACTTACTCATGGATAGCGAAAGAGAGGTAGAGGAACAACACAAATGTATATAGTATACAGAGAATATATGGTCATGACTATACGAGAGTGCGAATCAGCCATCAAACATTATCAACAAAAAACACCTAAAAACTATTAAAAACTTGACAAAAAAAAGACTACTCATTGAATCTTGGTAACTAAATCAAGAAAATGGGAGTTGTTTGTCAATCACGTCGAATCAAAGCAACACGGGTCCCGGGTAGCACAGCCAACATGAGACTTGGGAATTGAGGAAAGCCGGCTGAGGTCTCAATGGCTCGAGCTGGTTACCACTTGAGTTCCAAGTGGCTTGGTCAAAAAAATCTACGGCCCTACGAAGCATAGCTGCCATAGCTGGTTGGTGGTTTCACATATATATATACATAATATATATATACATATAATATATATATATACATATAATATATATATACATATGGTTTGATACAAAAATTTACCCAAGGGTTGACGGGTTGAAATCACTATTGACGGGGCATCACGGATGCCACGGATTCTCCGATCTTGGCATTGCACCAGCAAGGGAAGGCTGATCCCCTGCCAGTATCTGCCAGTATATTTGTAGATCAAACAATAGAAAGAGACATCCCTAGAACCATCTATAATATAGATATAATATAATATTAATATATCATAATATACCATTTGGTTATTTAAGAACCATCCAAGTACCCTTCATACTTTTGGACCATCCCGATGACCCAGGTTGGTGTTGATGGACGATCCCTTCGCCTCAGTGGATGCGTTCGGGGACCGGGACCGGAAGTCGCTGGGGTCAAGCTTTAGGCTAAAGGGGCTGTCTCATTTTGTGTTTCACCCTGGTATATCAAGTGGGGTAATTACTTGACTTGGAGGATCCCTGGTGACAAAAATGCACAGGACCCTAGACTATTTGGTTCATGCACAGGGCCAACACTTACACTAATCACTCATCTCTGGAAGAATTAGCAGAACCAGAGTCACTGGGAGCACCCGATTTGGTACTCAAAGCTGGTAAAGGTAAAGCCCTTTTTCGTATAGATGATTTGCCCAGTGAAATCCGACATATACAGCAGGTTTCCCATGGTTTCCCGGCATTTCAACAGCATCCTCAGCCTTGTTTAACTTCCAATTTACCCTCTGGTAATTTAACATAGCTATTGAAAATGGCCATTTATAGTGGATTTTCCCATGAAAAAATGTGATTTTCCATAGCTATGTTAAATTACCAGAGGGTATGGATGATGTGTTTGTTTCCATCCATTTGGTGAGACTGACCTCAACTCCGAGGCCAACAGCTCGCGTGATCATGGACAAGCTCTTACTCGGTCCCTTGATGACTGGTTGCCTCCTGAGCGTTGCCGTTGGAAGGCCAATCACGCAACATCTACAAGCTGGATCAAGCTGGTAGTGTTCTGGTAGCATGAGTACGTTGCCCAACTGTTGTTTGTTCCTGCCGGGTGATTTTTTTTTTTATATTTACATAATTTGTCAGGAGGATGATGGCAATTGACTGGCAGCCAATGTTTGAAATGTTCACCACATATCACAAATCAGATCTGAAGGGTTGAACCTGCAATCAGATAATGATAGGAGGAATGTAATTTGCAAATGGTGCCGTGTTTCAGGACCATTCGACATGACACTGCAGAACAATATTTACACAGCACAGCAGATGAAGAAAAGACGGCATAACATAACTATGACAAACCACGGCCCTTTTGGTATGACGATGCACGAACTTGAGTCACTTGAGGCCGCACTTGCATTGTGGTGTGGGGCTCAAAACCAGCTCATTTTTTGGGGGAAATCCGGGAAATCCTAGGGAAATCGAGAGTGAGGACTGTTTTGCAGTTTTGCTGCTTCAAAATCCAACAGTTGTTGCAGACTTTTGTTTGTTTTGACCAATGCTGTCGACGTGTTCTGGTTAAGTGTTCAGAATGTGTTGATTTTTTTTCATATCACTTTGGATGTGCAAGATGAGCAAGAACTTAGGATCTTTAGATGACGAACAAACCCTCTCCGCATCATTCTCGCGTTTTATTCAGAATGATGGATGTGATGGTTCATCGCAATCAAAGTTTGTAGAACGATGCCAATCTAGAGTATCGGGTGCCCTCTGCGGGTAGTGTGTTTTCCAGATAGGAAACGTAGATTATAGTAGACCATCGATGACGGATAATAGATGATCGATGATAGATGATAGACTGATGAATATCATGAATATGATGACTACAATGACCATGATGATGATGGTGATGTTGCTGCAGCTGGTGTTGCTGCTGATGATGATGTTGTTGATGATCATGCTTTTGCTGATGATGCTTGTGATAATGCTGAAGATGAAGACGATGACATGATGATTGATGATACTGCAATTCCTTAATCCAATCCAAAACCAGCCCCAAAAGCTGAACAGTGACTTCAGATCATAGTTTGGGGACCCTTCCAGTTCCACTTGTGTTTTTGTTTCATTGTCGCTGTGATTTCTCCGTCATAGTTTTGCAGGCTATCATGGTTGCTTGCATTTAACAGCTAATTGCAAATGTATGAGGACACATGAACAAAATAATAGCACGGATATCTAAGAACATTAATTGAAATTATAATGTTCATATATGTTTTTTTTAAATATATAATTGTGCATATGAGATTGTAGAACATTTCGTAAATCTAGTGTAAACTGTGGACATCATTTTTTTTCTTCCCCACGACTCACCATCTCGCCCCACTTGTCGCCCAGACCACGCAGCCGGACTCCGAGCGGCTGCAGAAGTTTCAGCGTGTGGTCGCTGTACTCAGCTACAGCGATCAGCTGATGGCTTCAATGGTTGAAGCGAAAATCATGGTTCAATGATGACATTGTTAGATATGTTAGTAACGCAAATAGATGCAAATAGGATCTACCATAGAAACTCTGTTTGTTTGTTTTTCTTTTGGCATTTTTCTTGGGTGGTATAATTTATATATGATATATAAAACATCGAGACATGGGTGGTTTATTATTGCTTTACGAACCTTCAACATGGTTTTTAATGGGGAGACACATAGCCAAATTGGAGTCAAATTAGCCAATGCAATATGAAATACCATGAACTGTACTAATTATTCCACATGGCCCCTAGGGTTAGTAGACTAGGGTTTCGAGGTGGGCAACGATAGGAAGGGAGTAGCAACCATGTGAATCCCAAATAAAAACGTGAAAACGTGCCCTTGGCAAAACGATGATTTTAGCGCTACAGGTTCTGATGTCCGAGGGAAAGGTGCGCCGCAGATAGTGGGTCCCTTGTGGGTCTTTGGGCAATGATAATCCATCGTTATCCCCCCCACATCTTAAAAAAATCGCATTAGTTACTGCAAGCAGGTTAACTTGATTTAGCCAGGTTTAACCTTCATTGAATGGGATACATAGCTGAATAGCTAATAACATTAGCTAATATATAACTCCAGCCTACCATTAATCCCATATATGTTTACTGTAAACGATTCATTGTAAACCCATGATTTTTAGCGATTCACGGGTTCTCTTGGGCACCCCAAAAAAGAACACCGCGTGTTTCTCGGTGAATACTGCTGGCCTATGGGGGTCGATGGGAGATGGATGAGGATTTTTCCCACCTGGGGATAGACCAGAACTTATAACAAGATAAGATGTTTGGGGATGAGCACTAGCTTGGCGCGAACTATAGGGCACCAGGGTTTTGACCCATGCCAACCTCTTGAAATTATGGATTCTTGATTCCAAGATTGGCTTGGAGGATTGTGCGATGAACAAAACATAACAAAACACATGGCCACACAACTGGAACTCCTTGGGGTTCAGAACGCTGCAGTCCATGATGCCTCAAGTCAAAGCCTAAACCCACAAGATTTGAAATCCTAGAGCTCACCGAATTCTTGGTTGACATCCTGGAAATTCCTTATTTTTCATAGCTTGGATCAGCCATAACTCTTGGGTTTTGAATGTTTTTCTACATGATTGCACATCACCCCCACAGATCCTGGGATAAATTGGATCCCGTTTGAACTTCGCAAGGTGATCCTGCAGGGGACGCCTGATGTGGCCTGGGCTCCAGGGGTTCACTTTTTGGTGTCATGAGAGTTGGCCAAACTGGAGTCCGAAGATTTTCTGGTTGGTGGTTTGGAGCATGGTTTTTATTTTTCCACATATTGGGAATAATCAGATGGGTTGAAACCACCAACCAGTTTTTGTAGATTCACAACGACTTCAAAAAGTGGTCCCTATGCAAGATCTTCTCATACCCAGCCGCCTCTTGCTCCAATCCCCAGAGGAAGTTTCAGGGACCATGATCAATTTACAATTTGGAACTCTACCAAATCTGTGATCGGAAGAAAACTACCTGTGATTTCTTGGATTCCCACCCAAAACAAAACAAATCCACTGGAGGAAAAAACAACACTTGTGATTTCTTCAACTTCGCCCCCCCCCCAAAAAAAAAAAACGTTGGTTAATTGACAAATCCCATCAACGGCTTCACTCTGAGGTTCTGACCAGCGAGGCCCGCAGGGGAGCTGACAGTGAAGATCAGTGAAGTGAAGCCTTTTTTCCGCAGGAAAACCAGGTGTGCCATGGTCAACATATGATTTACAAAGGGGATGGTCCATCCTTGAACGGAGATTACTATACCCCAATGTACTATTACTATGTATGTATGTATGTATGTATGTATGTATGTATGTATGTATGTATGTATGTATGTATGTATGTATGTATGTATGTATGTATGTATGTATGTA